ATTTCAATCTCCTATGCATACAGGCTTAAATAGTTAAGTATTTAATATGTAAAAATAAGAATGTATAGATGTGTTTGCAGGTGCATAACTCAAATTTGTATGTTTCTATTAGAAAACAGTTTTTTACTGTGGTTGAGCTTTGGACAGGACAATAATGAGTAGGACAAAGGCACCTTTACCAGAGCGTGCTCCCTCAGTTCTGAGAGCTGCTCCGTCCTGTGCCAGCTCCCCGTGTTGCAAGGTACCAATAAGGCAATCTGTGCACAAATGACTCATCCACACTCAATATTACCAGTCACAGGATGAGGTGAGCAGCACAGGTAGCAATATGTGAATACATTCTCCCTGAAGATTTTTGAAGGCAGAGGAAACATACTGAAAGGGCAAACAGAGTAAACACTGTCCTTTGACAGGAAGATAACCATGAAGAAATAGCAATCTGGTATACAAATCATTGAGGCAGAATTGTACAAAGATGAAACTATTTTACCTATATCTCCACTGTATGTCATCTACAAAATTAATTTCTTCACTGAGAAATAAATGGAGCTAGTAAAAACAACCCCAAAACCTTGATATCCATGTTTTTTCCACAAAGTAAGGGTACTTTTAAAAGAAATTTTCCCTTTATCTTCAATTAATTTAGTAATCACATCCACATCATAGAAGTTTATTTCTTCTTATCTAATACATAGATGCTGAGGAAAAAGAAATGGAGAGTGGGACGACGCATCTCTGTCAGGGGCTGAACAAGCTAGCATGTATCAGATTAATTACAAATACCAGACACTTAACTGCAGTCTTGTAGCCTTCGTGCCAAATGTGTCATATTTTAACTTGCTAGTTGCCACATTTTCATTTTCATTTCAAAATTCCTCAGTTTCAAGAAGAAAACAAACACATTTCTCATGGAGTTTTCAGCTGTTGCAAAACTCATCTAATTTTCAGTAATAGTATTCCCAAATGAATCAGAAATATCATCTTTCATTCACAGTGCTAATGATATCCTACAAGGTGACAAAATTAGCAGCTGGAAAGTGTAATCTTGCCACCACACTTCTCAATGTGCCATTCACATCTTCCAAGCTGTTGTCCAGTTCATGCCACTTTCTCAACAAATTTCCAAATAGTTTGTTTGCTTAAATGCCCAAAGCATATGTTGCTGACAAGCCTTTTATAAGATAAACATTTTCATTATTCTCACAAGAGCTTTGTCTCCCAAAAAACTTCTCATCTCCGTGACTGCTATTCCTTTATAAATCTTTCTCAGATCACTTATAAAATTATGATTTCCAAATAAATTTCTCAGCTATGTTTATACTCAAGCTGTCATGATAGCCACAGTCTCATTAAAATTTGCTGGTGGTTTGATCTTCTCTAATAAAGGAATTTGTGCATTTGATACTGTGAGCATTTCTCTTCATAATTAGAAAACAAACACAAGAGTACATAACTTCTTGGTTTGAAGAATTTGAAAACTGCTGAGAAAGGGAATATACGATTCACTATTGAAAATTCCAAATCCACAAAAAGAAAATATTAACTGAAAGTTCAAGATTGGATTAAAATATCTACCCCAAGCCTATTTCCACTCATGCAACCATCTAGCTCTGCAATAGACAGTAAAGACTCTTCTACTGCCTTTACCATGCAAAGACTGTTTTTAGCATTTTAGAAGGCAGGCTGCAATATTACAAATGGCTTTGAGATTTTATTTTTTTTTCCTGTCTCTGACTCTTCCCTGCAAATTCCTTACAAAGAATATTATCATGTAATTTTCCTGCAGGGAAATCCCAGACTGAAATTGTATGACTCATTCAAACACTGCAGTTCACTTGCCCAAGTTATCTGCCTTGCCATCAGAGATCCATGCTGCCATGCAAGAATTTCTAGGCTCGACTCAGAATGAGATAATAGGCAACTAAGAGAGTGCAGAGAGTGTTCCGGCTGATGCACATGTATGCTTTCCTCTAGTTTCTTCAACACACAGATTACAGTCAACTAGATCTGCTTTAAACTCTCATTGATTCACTGCTCTTGGACTCACATTCAGGTCCCAACTTGAAATTTGCATTCCTTTATTTACAGCATTCATTAATTAATTTCAACAGTAGCATAACAACAGAGCAAAGCCCAACGCTGTGTAGCAGTACGAAAGCTAGCTCAGAGACTGAAAAGGGAATAGCTGTGTAGCACAGAATTTACACAAGGTAAATGATAATTTAGTGTTTTACTCCTGTAAACTATCGTTTTCAGTCAGCAGGGCAAGCTAGCATCGAGAGGTGTGCTACACTCCTTGCAGTAGCAATACTAAGCTCAGGTAACTGAACAGGCCACCGCTAGACCTCACTTAGCTATTGGCTGGGATTCAACAAAACTGTCCTGTTTGAGGACAAGTGTCATGATCTATATTTTTATTTTGAAGGCAAATACTGGGTTGTTTATCTGTCTGAATTGTCCCTTTAGCTTGCCTTAAGTAAAAAAAGAGAGCACAATCAACTCCTAAAACATTTAAATTCATAGTGTTTCTCTTCTCTGTTTTCTTTCTTTTTTCTCCACAAAGCACCTATTTTTCAGTCTAAGTTATGAAGTAGGCTTCCACGGATAGGCATATATCTAACCCCAGATTTCTTAAACCCTGCACTTACATAGATGCTTTATCTATAAGACCATCACAGATGTCCCAGAACAGATGCTACACTGTAGGTCCAACCTGGTCCAAAAAGTACATATATTAATCTCCTTCAATTTCCAGGGAAAAAAACCCAAATATTCCATTTCTCTGACTCACATCCTAGTCATCTCTTAGCGAATAAGACAGAATGTCTTTTTACACAATAGGAGTCTAATTTGGAACAGGGTGCTATTGAACAAAAGGCAGTTGTAAATTATATGATTAACAGAAAATGTGTTCTTGTCTAATTCACAACAAAGCAAAGTGAAATAAAGGAAATAAGGAGTGGTTGGTGGCCCAATGTAGCACCGGGATTTTAATGCCCAGGAGATGCTTATTAAAAGAAGCTGCTGAAACAAACCTGTTAAAAGAAGACAAATTGGATGTGTGTAATTAAACTAGAGGATGCTGATTGGACAAGGCATGGGCTTAATTTTAAAAAGTTTGCTCCTCTTGCACATTTTGTGAATTAAATTAGAATACTCTTGCTAATATTTTGCCAAGACTTCTTTTTCCTTTCATTCAAAACAAAAAGGACATTATTCCAAGAGGAAACATGAGGTAGACCACAGAACATAGATCTCTTAGCAGGGAATAAAGTGATCCAATGGAGCCAGAAAAAGAAAAAAAATATTTTTAAATGTGTTTACATATTTAATACTAATGAAAGCATGTTTGCAAAAGTGATTATTAGTGGTGTTTATATGCTAAATGCAGCTTTAATGTTTTGTGAAGATTGATGCACACAAAGGCTTCAAATATGTCAGTAAGATCAAACATATTTGAAAATAGGGGTAAGGTTCCAAACTGGTAGGTTTTAAATCAGGACCAGACAGAAAAACATAACCCCCAGAAGGTTCTGATCTGCTGATTTTTCCTTTTTCTACCTAGTAGTTCATACAAGCCTTTGAATTTTCACAGATGCAACGCTATTGTCTGTGAATAAATTCATGCAGATCAATGTATCAACAAAACCACTGAGCTGTACTACCTCATGACAGATTCACAGAGATCACATCTAGGTATATTCATAGAAATTTGGGTTCACAACTGTTCAAAGGCAGAGCCAGAGCTTTGTCTGTGTGCAACCAGTCCACCTATGTGGATTATATGACACTGCTGCCCACGACAACAAGGAAAGGGACTCAGTGACAGAGGATAGCCTATATTTTTAATCACATTCTTATATTCTCTTGGTTTCATAGATCACAGTTTCTCTTAAACACAAAACTTGAGTACTGAACCCCAGTGTTGGACTTAATCAAGTCTTACGGCTGAATGAATACATTGTTCTCCTAGTTTCATGCAGATATACTTTACATTGCTTGATAATTAAATATATTTGCTTAGAAGCTGGTAATACAAATGTGATTTATGCAACAAAATTTTATGAAAACAGTTAATTTGCTTTGGTCTAGTTGTTTGTTCCTGTGTATTACGATGAAGAAAGAAAAGTGACCTGATTGCTTTGTTTACAGTGTAGCTAAGTGATGCAGGTGCTACATCATTCATTGGCTTTATAAGAAGTAATAAGGTCACAGAAATAGTTGGAGCAGCCTTATTTTCCATTAGGGCTGACTACATTAACACACTTACTGAAGGAGGGGACAGTAATGATCCATCAGTACTTACCAGGACAAAATTTGTAAAATGTACAATCTCAGTGGTTTAAAGGAGCTCAGATTTAACAGAAGTCCTAGTAATGCCCTGCTTTAAAGTCCGAGTGAAGTCTGTGTATGTCACCCTCCGAAACAGTTTACTATTGAAAAAAAAATAAAAATCCCCAAACCTGAACCAGAACAAACCTTTACTGTTCAAAGTTCATATGTGAATATGTTTAGATATTCAAGCCCCTTGTACAGTTAGAAAGGATTGATCATGAGGATATTTGTTGAGAAAGGTCAAAAAAAAACAGTAAACCGGAAACTGTAGAGTTTGGGTTTTTTTCCGAAGTTCTAAGGATGCAGAACCTGCATAATAATCTCCCTGTGAACCATAAACACAATAAAAGCTGAGGCCATTTCTAACATAATCTCTATCAGCAAGATGCCAGTGCTTTTCCAGATTTCCTAACGGGTCCCTGCTAATTCCATGCCAAAACTAGCCGTGGATTTCTTCCTTTTAATCTCCCCTAATGCCTTATTCGATTATTGTCACTGCTCCGAGCGCGCACCGTCCCTTCAAACCCTAATTCCCGCCCTGGCGCGGGCAGACGAGGCTGAGCGGCGGTGGCGAATGCGGAGGGCACACCCGGGCACAGGCAGCCCCCACCG